AACAAACGTCAATTACAACAGCGGGGGTCATAAGACTCGATCTATCACTATGAGACTACATATCTGCCATCATGGTCACTTCTGTCATACCGCTAGTATTGATATATGATTGATCAATGAGACGTGCATATTTGTGACTTATGAGGTCGGGTTTCCGCCTTTAATTTGGACATCAGTGTCAGTGGTGTAGAAGTCCGTGCCCTTACTGTTACTATTGATCCTACAATGCCCTACAGTCAACACCAAAGCCAGTCGTGTACCACGTACCCAAGTCGCTCCTACTCTAAAGATTACAGAGCCCCGTGTCGTAATTACTTTCCCCTGCTTTCACAGCTGATAACCGAAACTAAAGCTAACAAATACTAAGAAATGGATGGTGTTTGTTTTGTCCTTTGGTATTAAAATGCCAAGTGAATAATGGCCGTTGGTAATAAATCGTTCCATGTGTTAAGAGAAGTGCTGCGGATCAACATTTCGTTTGCATCTCCCTTCCATTATTTCCTAGTATGTTATCAAACCGGGTGACACTCGTCCGATCATCGTTAGACGCTAAATCATGTTGTAAGGCTTGAACAGCTCAGCATCTTTATGTAAATCAATAACGAACGTTTAAGTAGTGTGTGGTGTAATGGCACGAAACTCTTAAAGAGTGTTGAGAAAGGTTAAACATCATTCCCGACCTTTCCTGTAAGTCTTGGAAACATTTACATACGGCGTTGATCTCATGTTCTTAAATGTCTCTGGTGGCACGCGTAGTGACGATAAACTGGAAAAGGACAATGTAGGTTGTTCCAGATGCCATGGGAGGCCCAGTCGTCTAAGGTCCCGTAATTCGCTGTGCAGAGCTGAGTACCTTTGGCTACTGAAACCTTTGAGTGAGTGAGTGAGTGAGTGAGTTTGGTTTTGACGCCGCTTTTAGCAATATTCTAGCAAAATCACGGCGGGGGACACCAGAAATGGGCTTCACACATTTTACCCATGTGGGAAATCGAACCCGGGTCTTCGGCGTGACGAGCGAACGCTTTTACCACTAGGCTACCTCGCCGCCCCTGAAACCTTTGATGGTGGATTCAAATCCCGGTCAGTCACAATTGTCACAAGGTTTGTCAGCACCAAACCCGTACTCGTGACCAACGTCCGAGACCTGCATCGCTTACTTTCATCATCATCAAGCAGACACACCGTGAAGAGTTGGTCTTCAACAACCCATGCTTATCGTAAGAGGCGACTAGCGGGACCAGGTGGTCAGTCTAGCTGACTTGGTTGACACATGTCATCGTATCCCAGTCGATGCTCATGCTGTTGATCACTGGATTGTCTGGTCCAGACTCGATTATTTACAGACCGCCGTCGTATAGCCCGAATATTGCAGAGTGCGGCGTTAAACAACAAACCAACCAACCAATCATTAATCGGACACAGCGTGATATTTTTAGAGGTCTGAACCGGCCATTTCACACACGATTTACACGAGAGACTGGTTTTGTGATGTAAACACAAGCACTGGTTTACATAGTAAAATATAAAGTATGTGAAGCAACTGCAAGGGCAGTCATTGCCATGGAATAGTAACACACATGCTGCTCGATAATCGATTTAGGTTTCTACACTTCAATATGGATATGACATACTGTCAACAAAGGTTCAAGCAACGCAAGCGTTTTGTTTTAAAAGACAAACAAACACACGATTGAAAAAACATGGAACGGACATTGTAAGCGTGCTTTACTTTTGTCCCGGACTGTATTCAGACGGAAATTCAGTACATCGAGAAGAGGTCACACGAAGTTGAACACTGCTTGGAGGTTTCGGAAATGACAGTGGGGTAATTCTGCTACCAATTTCACACCGCCTTCACGAGTTCAGTTAATTGCGGTACGGTCTACAGACGTGTGCATCAATGACAGCATATTAAATCATTACTGGTTTATTAGTACTTCACTTTCTTGTTCCAGGGTCATAAATGAACTTGAGTCGAAACGAACCAAGGGACATTCATAAATCAGCTTGGATCATAACTAAGCTTGGATCATAACTTGGAATCGGCATCTTCGAAAATTAATTATTCAAGATGGAGAACAGACCTGTTTAACAAAGCTATATAATTCACACGATTCTATTGGACGGAGTGAGTGAGTTTGTGGTTTAACGCCGCTTTGGACCGTAATCAAGTTACATCGCGAAATATCAGCTTTCACTAAAGGTGTCCCAAAGTATTCAGGTCTCAGATTATTACTACTTTGTTGAAACCCAAGAGCAATGGTTAGCTGCTGATCAAACTAGTAAAACGGTCGAGGCGAACGTGGATTCGAGCCAATAATCAGGTACAACATGGATTCTACTAGCCACGCATACGTGTACAATTATTATGCATATCATTCTGGTCCTTCTTTAAATTAAACGTAAATGACAAAGTCTTTTAAATGCTTTTAGTCCATAATAAAATTGTAATAATTTTTTTTGAAATTAATATTTCTTTGTTCTTTAACATTCGGAAATGAATAGCCCATGTGTTAGCTCGTCCCGCCCAAGACCAGGTTCTTTTGCAAAGGTGCATTGTGTTAATCATGCTTTTTATGTCCACCATCGATATATATATATATATATATATATATATATATATTGTTGATACAAGCAACGTAAAACCATACCTATACCCATTTGAAAACTATTATTCCCCCGCAGGCATTGTGTAGTTTATAAACGAAGCTTCCGACTATACACCTCTACTCCAGCCTGCAAGTGTGTCCAATTGATAGGCAACAAACATATCGCCTATTTCAAAGCACGCAATCAATAGCTGCCAACGTTAGCGGGATGGACAAAAAGTTGGTTATGTAAATGTCCGCTGCGCCCAGAGAACATTTCAACATAAACATAGTAAGTGAGTGATCGGGCCCGTTACGCTGCTTGGTACATCACTACAGTTACATCACGACGTGTTCGCGGGATGTGGGAGGAAGGCGTACACCGATGCTGGTCTTAGATTGTTAACACGTCAATAAAACCTGGAAGGGTTTCCAACCGATCGAAGATCATGTTTGAGGTAATGGGTGGAATTTGATCCTGCGATCTGCGGATTCTGACGCGACCAAGGGACGTAACTCCTTAAATGTATAAATTATTTCGAACACGTGATAGTTGCCGTCTTGCTACAGTAAACCATTAATTCACCTTCGCCTTATAAGCATTAAATTTTATATCTTAAAACAATGTATAATTATCAATACTGATAAGCTATAATAAGGTTATATAATTCAGTGAAGCATCCATACATGTACAGTTATCTATTTCCATACCGAGCACGCTTTTAACGGACTGGTGGATATATCGAACCATGTTTTGTCCCTATCACTTGATGTATAAGCAAAATCCGAATTACTGTTATAACGAACTGAAATTAGAGGTCGTTATAACCGTCGTTTACTTAACCATCAAAATCCTTCATTAATCGACATATCCATCATATACGGATCTAATGAAACACAGGAAAACAAACATCCTTCTCGTTCGATTATTAGTGAGTGAAGAGCGCTACTTCTTCACGTATTTCACGGCGATAGCGTGTTAAGCATTATTTCCCCAAAATATACAGTCATTGGTTTTCTAACAGGTTATTTGTGAATGATGCGAGGTGTTTCAGTCAAAACTGAAGTACAGATGACACTACATCGGTCGCCTCCCTTAGTCGTGCGGGCATGCTATGATTATTGGTTGACAGATTCCTAGACTAACAACTAATCTCTGAAATGAACATATTTTACAGAAAAAAAATTATAGTAAAAGAAATAACATATAATGAAATGGAGCCCTGAGACTAAGCTGTGGAAATCTAGACTTGCCACATTTTTTATACTTGCTGGGGATTTCTTGGATATATTTGCTTCAGGGTCTGTATGACAGACTAACAAATTCCAGGTTTACTCTGATGCAGAGCCTTGTTGATATGTTTGTTTTCAACAAGGGTTTTCTTCCACTACGACACAAACAACATATGTCGTGACATAACAGGAAGCTGTTTCGAAGCGGTTTTAATCCCAATAACTCACTCATCTTGTCACAAGGTGGCTTGTTAAGTTTCAGGGAAACCTCAAGGTCAGGTAGGTGATAAACCTGGTTGAAATTTAATAAGAAGTAAATCCATCTGTAAGAATTGTAACAAGTAATAGACTCCTACCCATGACCGAAAGTTTCTGACAGCAAACGCTAACCCCAGAGCACTGGATTAAATATCCTGATCAGTGAATGTGACAACAACACATGCTGTGAATTGTTTTAGATTATGACTTTCAGCCTGAGACACATTCACATGTTAATATACACGTATTCCAAACGACAACGATGTATCGGCGCATGAACCAGCTGTTGCCGTAGATGAAGAAGTTAAAATATTGAATATAATATTGCCAATGTTTGCGTTTTAAATGCACACGTAGACATTGCCAGTGTCAGGATAGCAATTTTCCATACGTAACTAAAGACTGGTTCGTTGGACATCAATGTTACATACAAATATCAAAATCAAATGATTTCATGTATCAGTAACATCGTTATCATCTTCGATCCGAATGGTTTATTCTCTGTTAAGTTTTGAAAGTACAACATTTATATTGGAAACAGATTGGACATACGAAAGTCAAGAAAAAATGAGGAGAGAGAGAGAGAGTGAGAGGGTGTACCAGAAAGGGATCGACAGTGTACTAGAGAGAGAGAGGGGGGAGAGAGAAAGAGAAAGATAAGAAAGAGAAAGAGAAAGAGAGAGAGAAAGAGAGAGAGGGAGAGAAAGAGAGAGAGAGAGAGAGAGTGAGAGAAAGAGAGAGAGAGGGAGAGAGAGAGAAAATAGAGTAGAGTACATGTATATACTTAAGGGAATAAAATGAAATGCTATATGTAACTATGGTTGAAGCAACTCCCTCTGAACGAGGTGATTGTTGCTCAGGAAGCAACTGTTAAAGCGGACACTGACATTAATATAGTATCTAACATGCTTTGAAGCTCACCTGATGAACATCTCAACGCCTGTCTGTTCCATATTGCGTTTAATCCCTTTCCACGATTGCTTCAACTTAAACACCTGTCTCTGGTCAAGGGGAAGACGTGGGTCAATGGCGACGGCAGTGGTAAACTCCGTTTCGCAGTTGCCCTTTTCCTCTGCCTTGTCATTCCCCGTGTGTTGCGGTTTGGCCTGCCTGCACCCCATGTCTGGCGACAAGTCAAGAGATATTGGCACTGCATATAAAACTCAATCCTTTAATGAAGCGACATGTCACCGAATACCGCCCATCGTCAGCGACAAAGACGTCTCACACACCAGGAAGGATTCTGACAAACAGATACGATCAACTCGAAGGCCTTACACCATAGTACGTTCCGTTAGGTAGAAGACGCCTGTAGTACATGTGAGAGAAGACTGAGAGCCGTCCTTCTGATGATGTAGTCAGTCTTATATACACTGACTGTGGAGCTCGCAACGCGAGACTCCGGGCAGCACTGTATTGATGAGTGTAGTGCGGTAGGCTGCCTGGCACGCCCGCTACCGCTGGAACGGTTCAGAAATGCCTCTGTTATCTACACCCTTCTCGCGGATTTAATTATTAAAGTACATCTCACACTGTCGATGCCTTGTACCAATATCTACTGATAATATTAACGTGCTGCAGCCATCACTACTTGAGTGTAGTACAAATAGTGATTGTTAACTTCTCCAATGCTTGACGTTTACACGAGTTACGAAACAAGCCAATATGTTGAAGCAGGATGCATACAAATTGCACAAGGATGTCATCGGATTTTGTGTTTGTTTAAAACACTATCTATCGACTGTTTAACGTAAAACATATGTATATTTAATAAGCATTTATTTTGGCTATCACATTTCCTTCAATTGTAGTATTATAATAATGAACTATAGTTGATGTGGTATCAAATAACAAGATTCAATGAATCATTCATGGATAGTTTACTATGTGGGAGACCGATTCTCTACTTGTAGAGACATAGTCACAAGCAGCAGGTGGTTCAACGCAGGGGCTATAATATTCAAAACCATTCGTTCAACGCCAGCGTATGACAGTGTAGCCTCTCCTGACATTGTACAGATCCAAGAGATAAGCTTCAGAGCTTCAGAGTCATTGACAATGAATTCATAATGAACAGATAGGATCTGTATTGTCCGCTTCTTTATAAATTCACGTGGTAATGGCTTCGGATTTGGATTATTACAATGGAATTGTGTAATGAATGCGACTGACACAATAGATACTAACACGACGACGTCCGGTGCAACTGCACTCCCTGTTACAGCTGTCGTCAAACTATAGAAAACCCACGCCAGTTCCACTTGCATTACTGGCCATGCTGATCAGAATATAGATCGATTGCATTAAATCACATAATGTATCGTAGATCTTGTTAATGAAACTTCTGTCTTGATTAAAGATGCATTAACAGGAATCGAAACTCCGGGTATCGCTTAATGGTGGAATAATTAAAGGTGACGATCCATCTTCCCATTCAGGTATGTGCTTGATTGCCATCAGTGTGCCCTTAATCATGATCATCCCGTGTTAAAGGGACATCGTTTTTATACCTATATACGCTGTTGAAACACCCGAGCCAAGAACACATTACTAAACCTTAGAGATAGAGTTATGTCGGTTTTCGTGAACAATCTAGAAAGTAATTAATGTTCGATCTGAAATTTCCGAATATCCTGAAATCCGATGTGTTGCAGAAAGCAAAATATAGTGATAAGATGTGTCGATAAAATCTTGGTGTCGCTGCGAAAACTTTGAAATGATACATTTGTAGAAGCCATTCACAATAGAAAACTATTCAAAGAGAATTATATAGGTGTTTAATAAATAAGAGTGGCGGGTTCGAGATGTTAGGTTAATCGAGATAGCATGTTCCCGATATTGGTAGGTTCTGGAGAAAACGTTTATGGCAATGACATAGATTTCACCAATGTAATTCGAGATATCTAGTTCGAAATTTTCTAGGGCGTCGGTCCCTCCCACAGTAAAACACATGTAGCACGTGCGATGACGTCATGGGAAAGTGAGTTCGAAATATGGCTCCGTTTAACCGTCAGTGAAGAGGCATTAGGAAATATGAGACGAATATGCCTGTTAACCTTCTCGCGTCGCACAGGTGGATTGTATCCGCCCCAGGGAGTTGAGAGAGAAAATCGAGGGCACATTAATCCGCTGTTCAGGGTAATCATATAGCACTTTAGGGTGTGGATTTGGTGCATCATAACTTCATACAGAACACATTCCATGCTGTCATAGATGCCAAGAGGTGACATCTACATGTCCCCAATTTCGACGTGGGATATATGTTATGAATGTGATGATAACTATGAATACATATTTTCATTGTGCTTCAAATGAAATACAAAACAATAAAAATGACCATTTGCTGAGCTGAAATGGGGAACAGCTTTATCTGATGCATTGACAATGACACATACAGCCACAACTGAAACACGAGCTGGACGATTGGTAGACCTAATTCATATGCATGGTATATTCAGGTCGGTCTGTGGATAAATTGTTTGGCTGAAACTCGGTGTATATAGATAACAACCCATTGAAAGCTACCATTGACCGCTGCCAATTCAGACACTTTCAACAACCATACAATAACATTGAAGGTACCAGGTGTTATTCAAATGCCATTCCTTTCAACTGGTACCTGCCCATGAAGGTCAGCCAGGCGTATTATGCATGTGTACTAACTTTATTCCTCCGAACGTAATTATCTCAGTGTTATGTCATTATCCCGGTAGAGTGCGTAACTTGTTTTACCCCGCTTTTATCAATATTCTTTCAATATCTCATCGAGGAACATTATAGATATCGGCGATCCCTGTGGAAATCGTGGAGTCTAACTTAAAATATGGACGCCTGGTTTGTGAGTGAGTGGCTGAGTATGGCTTTACGCCGCTTTTGGCAATATAACAGCAATATCACGACGGGGGACACGATAAATGGGCTTCATACGTTGTACCCACGTGGGAAATCGAACCAGGGTCCTCAGCGTGACGAGCGGACGCTTTAACCATTGGGCTACCCCACCGCCCCGCCTAATTTGCAAACCTCAGCGTTAGCTCCAACTCTCTCACGTATTCGTCACGCCGAAGACCCGGGTTCGATTCCCCACATGGGTACAATGTGTTAAGCCCATTTTTGGTGTCCCCCGCCGTGATAGTGCTGAAATATTGCTAAAAGCGGCGTAAAACTAAACTCAGTCAGTCAGTCTCTCACGTATTGCGTACACGAGCCATCTAGACAAACAACGAGTACTTAATGCTTGTGCTTACAGATATATTGCAACATGTTTTACAGAAAGCATTGAAAGTATTTCTTGTTTAATATATCTCTGTACAGGTGTAGTAAAATTGTTGCACCTAGGAGCAAGTACATGTACAGTGTGTAAATTGTAGTGACACATGTCGTGAGGCACTGGTGCGATAAGTATGACTAAATATTGATAGAATCAACCAACTCTCAATTAAGTATGTTCGATTTTACAGCATAGAAAGAGAACATGTTTGCCACCAAATACTGATATAAAACCATACCAGACTTATACCGTAGTAAAGTAGCATAATTTAACCAAAATACTCCGACGTATGTGTGGTAGTTTAAGCCAAGATGGTTCCCTTGTATTCAATTTGCAAAATTGTACTTAGTCAATTATTTCCGAACGATGACTACACAAAAATGCAAAGGAGACCTTTAATTTTATTTTAGGCCTTAATTAAGCTTACATGACTTTCTCAAGATATGTATGTACCAAAGGACCATAAATGCTATCAGCAAAACGCTGTAAACATGACCAAACCCATTGTGACTGGTTCCTCATCCACTTCAGTTGCAGCCTCAGGTACCTCGGCCTCTTTGACAGGGACAAGGAGATGCACGTGTGTCGGACGAATCATCGCATCTTTCTGCGTCACCTCATGCGAATAATTGTCAATTTGATGGTGATGTATTTCCAAAGCCCTCTTCTTTCCGATAGATCAATAGTCAATTAAGGATATAAAAGAAAGAGTCCACCCCAAGTTGTAAATTTGAATAATTGGTTGTAATAGCCCAATACGGTCGATTATGAATGCGAGTGATTCCTTTCTGTCAATACCATCATCTGTCTCCTTCCTGTGGTGAAAAGCCACATGCATTGGTTCACTGGCTCAGCTCTTTGTGTGGAGGTATGTATTGATCGTAAGGTACATAGAGCTATTTTGTTTGAGCATGTTCACCTCATCTGCCTCCATCCCTTCTGATTGGCCTTGCTCCCTAAAAAAATCAATAGCTGTGATATATTTTCCACTGGTGTAGCGTAAAATGTACAACTCAGTAAGTACTGACAGAACCATTTCCCAAAATAAACTTTATTACAAGGATCGATCTCAGGTCTGCCAATACGATGGAAAAATCCATTAACAAATGTTCCCGAGGATGCAAACTCATGACAACAAGGATGGATGGTCCATGAACATGTTATTATGCCACCTGCTGTCGTATATTTATCTTTATGAAGGATATTCCAGTGTTCTAATTTAAAAACTCCGGGGTATAATCAGTCTAGATTGTCTCCCGAGACAGATTTTGTTGGGCCTAATTAGGAAAATAGTCATGAAAATTATCATTGATCACAGAAAATCATTAATGGTTCTGAAGAAAATGATAAACATGACCTGGTCTACCCGTAGGATAAGCTACTGACATTACGAAGTAAGTCTGTGTTGGTTACAAGGCGTGGAAACACCATGAAAGGATCATAACATGGCTATATCACAATGGTTTGTATCAGCGAAGATCCTGTTAGAATTGGTTTTTCAGCAACTCATGCTTGTCGTAAAAGGATCGGGTGGTCAGGCTCGCTGACTTGGTTGACACATGTCATCGTATCCCAATCGCGTATGTCGATGCTCATGCTGTTGATCACTGGATTGTCTGGTCCAGACTCGATTATTTACAGACTAGCTGGAATAATGCTGAGTGCGGTGTTATAGAACCGACCAACTAACCAACCACCTCTGATGTTTGAACGCAATAGCCCCAAGGGGTCTCAGCGGTCTATGTAGTCACGATATGGCTGAAATATTGCCGATGTGACTTTAAATCTTAACTCACTCACTCAGCGGTCTATGCTGTCACGTGTTGCATAATGTCCGTAAGTCTATTATGAAACCACCACTGAGGTTGTAGAATGTGTCTGTATCAGATAATTACCTTTTGACAATGGTCGCATTAGATATTAACATCATACACGATACACCACACACACACCAGTAATGTGGACTTCGTCGAAAGATCTTATTCGTGTATTAACCTGCGGCCATGAATATTTATTATGATCAGTCAATTCCGAAGACCGCCTTTGTAGCCTAGTGTATAGAAAGTCGGCCCAGGAACAAAAGGTTGGGGGGTAGTCCAGTGGTTAAAGCGTTCGCTCGTCGCGAAGCCGATCTGGGTTGGTTTCCCCACATGGAATCGTGAAAAGGACGTGTTGGCAGTTATATATTTGAAAGTTCAAAGTTCAAATGCAACTAATTAGGTGAGCCATTTAAGAGTCTATGATGAATCTATTGGCATTTTGAAAAAACAAATGGTGGGGAGTCATTTAGAAGTGATCCCTCATCACCAGTGGTAAGTGTGTTTGAATGGGTATCAATGCTTGCATCGCATGTTCATAAGATT